AACAGATCAATATTCTTGTAAACACCTGTTACCTGTATTCTAGAAAATTCCTTAATTAATACTAATTAAAAATCCCAGTAGGTGGTTTCTACAGATTTTAATGTTTTACAGCTTGGGCAAAATGCTTTTTTCAAAAAAGTCGGTCATTCTTTTCTTGAACACATGTAGAACCTTCAGAGCAAAAAAGTTTTTTATGGAAAAATATAATTAACTTAAGACAGACTGATATAAACTGCTGTGCAAAGCATGGGTAACAATTATTATTCGCCCGTTAAAGGGATATCTGCGGATAAGTTGCGCCGTGAATTTTTGACCGCACTATTGATCATCTCATCAAGCGTCTTTCTCTAGTGGCGTCACAGAGTCCCAAATTTGGCCCACCATAGAAACGGGAGGTCGGCGGATTCTCGGGTGTGCTTTGCTCCTTTTTTACCATCAAACATAAAATGATATATGGTCCTTATCTCTACTCCTTATGTTTCGTCTTTGTCACCTCTAGTCTGTGGCACCTACATGACCTCAATGTGTTGCAAGTGCTGTTAAACTTTACACGTTCTAAAACATAAAAGAGAAGAGAACGGAGACCCCTGGTGTAATACGCAACTAGCACACGGGACTTCCGAGATCTTTTCACCCTTATCCGAGATGGCAAAGTGTTAGATCTTACCTAAGCTAAGATCAGGAATGTGGCTGAAAGACAGTAAGAAGAATCCAAGGAGTATCCGTAGACATGCAGCAGAAAGAGTCAGGGGCCAAGAAAAGGGGGCAAAAGAGGGGGAGGGGCAGACAATATGGACACGAAAGCAGACAACACAACATGATTAAAGAGCAGGAAAGATGAAAGGAGAAATGTTTTTGTATAGAGAAGAAAACTTTCTGTCTCTTTCAGGTTTCGCACCCGGGACCTATTGAATGAGAGGCGAACACCGCACCTCTAAACCACGATCGAGCCCCGGTCTACAAATATGTTTCTGTTTCGTAAGATTTTTTCTCTGACCAGCCCCACTCCCTGACCCATCTGACTCGACCCGACCTGATCAGATGGCATTGACCTGTTGAGTCGAGAGAGCGTGATCCCCTCTTAAAATATCAACTGAACCGTAAGACTACGTGAGCAATAATTGAGCTGGCACGACGCGGTGGACCTAAGCGCTCGTCAATTTTTGGGAATCTGGAGAAAATGGTATCGTCTTAATGCTTGTTCATTTGCCTTGCTTTCTAAGAAAAAAATATCCATCCGTCCGGATCAGAAGTCGAGATACAAATGTATTTGAGATTGAAGAAGATGGGGGTCGTCTGGTTTCAGAGGAAAAATTAGCGAGAAAGTGGCCACCAAAGTTTGGATATATGTATCACTTGAGGGTCCTCCAAATCTGAAAAAATGTACAACTTTTTTGTTCTATTAATCGACGTTTTTCACCAAAAAAATCAACACAGATAAGAGTTTTTTTTTAAGGACATAATAAAATTGTTCAGCTAAAACAACAAAGATTCGCTAAAAAATATCCAAACCGGGAGGGGAAAATGAGCTGATTTCTCTGATTTCATTAGTTTGACGAGCACCTGATTTCGCCACAATGCCTAGCTGGGTACGCGAAATCCAAAAAGAACGGTTAGCGTGGAAACCTGATCACGCGTCGTTTATAAGAAAATCCCATGTTTTCCCCTGTTGCTATTCCCAACTCTTTGCTCGTTCGAGATGACTGCCTGCCTGCCTGCCTGCCTGCCTGCCTGCGTGCGGCATTCCATGAGTTCATAGGCCGCACAGAGTATGAGGCGAAACAATTACTGATGTTCTTTTTTTTTCGAACTAGTAACGTATTCAAGCTGAAAACATTTCGAGCTCGCCAAAATCCGTGTTGTTTCTTCGAAAACTTGAGTTGTTCCGTAATGATTTATCACTTTCTTCTTCTTCTTCTTTGTTGTCGTTTCCTCAACGATTTTATCAGACCTGCTGTCTTATAAATCTCTTCCTCATTTGTTTTAACCTTCTTTGTCTTTGATTGGTGTTCTGATAGTGATAATTATTCATTAACGCTTTTGAAGTTAGCACATGATATCAATCAGATTGTGAACTCAGCACTAGAAGGAAAGTCATGACCCCCCCCCCCCCCCCCACACACACACACACACCCGAAATAAATAAATGGATGAATAAATATATCAATCAATCAATCAATCAATCAATGAACGAATGAATGAATGAATGAATGAATGAATGAATGAATGAATAAATGAATGAATGAATGAATGAATGAATGAATGAATGAATGAATGAATAAATAAATAGATGGAGTGGAGTGGGTTTTTTTTAAAATATAGCACAGAGTGCCACTCCTTCACCCCAAGTGAAAACGCCAACCACTGCCAGCCACAATCTGTGACTACTGAAAAAAACACATCCCATGACGGAGCATTAAAATTTATTCATCAAACGGGATGGTCTCGTTGACTCGCCCGACCGACACCGTTACTGTATGTTTGCCATTGACAATTTGACATGACTTGTTTCAAAAATAAAACTCTTCAACATTTGAAGTAAAAAGAACGCAGCCTTTCAGCGATGTGCTGCAGCTGTGACCTCTCCGTCATGACATTGTGTCAATTCTTTTTTATTTAAATCCGAGCTCCAAATTATAAAAGCGACAGTATAAGACATGTTTAGGCCTTTAAGGCCTACTTTCTTTGTGTGTGGAGCAAAGGAGTTATAAAAAAGCACTCTTTGGTGTGGAGGCACTAAATGAACCAGGATTTTATGTTGAACAATTTCTTGAAAAGAGCTGTAGACTCGAAAACATAAACCCGTGCTCCAGGACCGGAACTATTAAACAGGATAAAGGCTGTTAAATAATAAAAAATACCAAATTTGTCTGAACTCAAGGGTTGGGAGGTTCTACTTTAAATGAATTCATTTTGCTCTTCAATCGACGAAACAATCCTAAAATTGTAATCATATTATTCTTATTTGTAACCGCACCACATTACTCTTAGATACTTCACATACTTTTAGCGGGGGGGCTGGAGGGTGCCACTGATAAGTCCTATTTTACTTCCCCTCTGTTGTTTCTGTCAATCTTACTTTTTCACAGCAGACAAGGAACTTTATTGTGTCGATGAGCTTCTCTTTACTCGAAATCACGTACTATTTGAACACACAAGAACCTGTGCATAAATAAAGCTGGTTAGCGCTCCCCCGCCTCCCCATCCCACCCTCGCCACGAAAAAGCCCCCCCCCCCTCCCCCCCCCTTTTCCACAGCCTGGTTTCAGGGGTAAAATTAGTGAGAAAATGGCTGGTAAGTTCCAAAGCTTGAGAGCCCATGGGAAACTGAAAACTCACATTTTTGTGTGCCCTTTGATCAACATTTTTTCAGCAAAATGCTCACAGATATATGTTTTTAAATGGACATAAAAGGTGTTGTGTCACCCCCCTCCCCCCCAAAAAAATTTTTTTAAAAATAAATAAATAAATAAATAATAATAATAATATATTTTATTTATTTTTTACAATTTAAAATTTAAAAACACCCCAGAATAATGCCCAATAGGCGAAAAATGTCAATTTCTTCGATTTCACTGTTTTGACGATCGAGCGCTTGATTTTACCACGACGCATAACCGTGTGAATACGGCCTCGGAAGCAGTAAACCTCAGCCTGTGCCGAAGGTGTATGTGTAGAATAAATGAAAAGCGAGAGATTTCAAAAATGCGAGCAAGTGAAAGAAATAATCAGCAGCCAGATACAGTTGTTTACAAATTATAACAACACGCGGAAATGAGTTCAAATCTGAGAGGCGCCAGAATTTACGCGAATCTCAAGGAACGTTTCACCTCAGCTCAGCGCTCAGTCCTGGAAGAAGTCCAGACAGGGATCGGGTGGGGGTACCCTGCCTTAATTCAGACTAATCAGTATTGCGTCTAGAGTCGGTTTTTTTTTTGCACATTGGACTTGGATGCATAAGTTAACGTCCAACTCATCATCATCATCATCATCATCATCATCATCATCATCATCATCATCATCATCAACAACAACAACAACATCATCAACATTATCATCATCATCATCATGTGCCAGATTCACGACAAACATCGCCGATCATGGTTTGCTATCAATTCCTTCGTTCGGATGTTCTTATAAAGAAAAAGAAAGAAAAAGGCTAAGATTCTCTTTAAAAAAAAAGGGGGGGGGGGCTATAATATTTTTATTATCTTTTCCCGACATCCATCTGTTTAGGTGTTTCAAGTAAGTTGCTCTGGGTTTACCTCTGCCTCGTTTGCTTTCAATTTTAAAATGAAGGTTAAATTTCCAAGGCCCTTATGTCTATTCAAGTGTCCCCCAAGCTGAATTTGTCTTTTCTTAACTGCTTTTACAAGCCAGTGGCCCTCGTGGGTTTCTTCAAGTACTATCTCACATGAATTCTTTTCCTTCCAAGAAATTCTGAACACTCTCCTAAAAAAACTTATTTCTGTTGCTTTTATTTATTTTAACTGTTTTTAGTGATTGTCAATCATTCCAAGACGTATTAATGGGTTAATATATAGCTTTTTTAAGGAGATAAAAGCCATAAGTGGGCCTCCACACTGGATCAAGAACACAAGCCATCAGCGAGCAGTAATCATTACTGACTCTATGATGCTGTATGCGGACTGGAAGGCTACGATCAGGGAGAGCGGCCTGGATCTTCTGCCCGGGCTAAGCAGGGGTTACCGGCAACGAGAGAGCAGACAAGCTGGCTGGAGAAGCAAAAGTGGGAGGGAATTTGACACTGGACCCACTCACCCTCCTAACTGCTGTAAGGGGAACTTTTAGGAAGAATAGGGCAGATAGCGGTTCCCACACCCTAGGTAGATTGAAGGAGAAGGGGGTCCAAAGAGGAGAAGGGAAACACAGCCACCTGTGCGGACCAATCCGACGGATCTCCAACCAGATTATGATGGAGACTGTAAGCAGACAGACTCTAGGATGGACCCTGAAGAGGGGAGGAGAGCAGACATGTTCCGACTGTAGTGACCCCAACACTGTGGACAAGGCGTGACAAGGTAAGGTGTGACAAGCCTTTTAGAATTTTTATTTTGGTAGTCATTGAAATGTTTCTATTTTTCAGCATTGCGCTCATGTTTATCGAAACTACCTTTAGAGAAAAGAGACAAAAAAACAGATCTACTTCCTTTTTGTCCCTTGCCCATGTCTATAAGATTGACGCCATCTAATTAGTAGAAAAGGGTGCGTATTATAGTGTCCAAATACTGATCCAGTACATTTTCTAATTACAGGGGTCTCCACCTAAGATGTCGTTCGTCGGGAGACTGAAAGAGTGGGTTCTTAGACGAACAGGTTCTAAGGCGGATTTCACATAGCACAACAAGCCGTTCCGGTCCTTGGTGGGTTTCAACTGTTTATTCTTAGTTTTGTTAAGTAAGAGTTTTACGGTCCTCGCAACACAATAAGGCCACACAAGAGCAGAAGTTTAGTGGTGTTACAAGAGAGTTACCAGCACAAAAAGGGAGGAGGAGGACGAAAGATTCATGAAGACGATAGATAGGAAGAAAGGCAATAAACCACATCAGAACACCCGGCAACCACCCACAATGTTTATCTTACGACGAAACAATGTCCCGTTGTCACCCCGAGGAAAGATAAACAGGCTTTCTTTAAAGGAATAAAAAAGAAAAATAACAAAAGAAAAATGTGTGTGTATGTCTGGTAGGGTGCAATATTTCGGGTGCAAGTGAGAACCTGGGGCTACAGAGGATTATTTTTCCCCGCACGACATTGCGTTTATGATTAATTCATTCAGCATTGAAATTGCGAAACAGTTCCAGCAGTCTCCAGCAGCGTAATACCCACCCAGTGCCCACTGGCACGATCGGATCGGATCGGTTCGGTTCGGTTCGCTAGTCAGATTGAGGGCGCAAAACGGCTATCGTGGCACAAACCGATCGCCCGACCCATACCACTCGTCGATTCAAAAACAAACGCGTGTTGTTGTTGTTGTTTGTTTGTTTTTTTTTGGGAGGTGGTTTGGGGGGGGGGGGGGGGGGGGGGTTCAGGCGAAGAGTCGGGCGATCGGTTTGTATTATAGAGAACCAATCCCCCAATGGGCACTGGGTATTAGTGACGGGAAAGAACAGCCAGCATCCATAGGACAACCAGAAGACGCTTTGACCACGTGATTTAAAAAAAATAATTTTTTGTTAGAGTTTTACTGCACTAGCAACACAATTAGGTCATACAAGTGTCTAAGATTCGAGGTTTTATGAGAGAGTAACAAACAAAAATGAAGGAGGAGAGACAAGGACAATAAGTGTTTGAGAGGAAAGAAGGAGCAAACCATACCAAAGCACCCCCCAACCACCGACCGACCACGTGAGAGGAGCAGCGAGGATTGTACCAAAAAAAAAGAACCACTTAACGATTGGTTCGTTCCATATCGCTCACGTGCGTCCTTCCTAAAACAAAACATTATATTATGTAAGTACGCACTCAGTATAAATAGATTTCGTGGTCCATTAGGCCATTAGTCTACATCAACCTCTCTCCCTTCACCCCAACCCACGCGAAGTACAGCAAAACAGTTCAGAGAAGTTTATTGCCCTGTGCTCAATCCAGCTTCTTATGTAATGTTCTATTTTTGGAACGAGTTCTAGGCATGTTAGTTAAAGAGGGAAAAAAACTATTTTTTTCTCTCCCTTCCAATACTGTAACGTCGTTTAAAAGGCAGAACTTTGTACTTTAACGTCTATCTTCGATAGGGCAATGCCACGGAATTGAGAGGCTTGAAGCTTCTAACACAACCATACTTCAAGAACATAAAAATATACCTAATTACATTTACCATAACGATAATAATTAATGATAATAATTGATGATAATAATTAAAATAACAATTGTTATATCTACGCTCTAGAACATGTTCTACGTGCTTAACTATTGTTATTACACCAGCACACACACACA